CGACTTGCAACATGGCAGGTGCTCATCTTCATCAACGACTTTGACCTCTGCGACTTCAAGACTCGGGGTGCGCCCCGTTCCCTGTTCAGGATTGTATTTAGGGGTTTTCGTGGTAACTTTGGTTCGCTTCATATTTGTTGTTTTCTTGTTCTTCCTCAAACTTTCAGCAGTTCGTGCCTCAAATAAGTAATAGTTTTGGCCTAATTTCTATCTATTCGTTTTACTGTTTGGGGGGTTCTCACCCAATGGCTCGTTTTTTCTTTTTCGCTCATGCCTTTTTTGCGCATTATTTTAACACTATCGCCCACCTCTGTTTCGGGGTATGTTACAGTATGTTCTAGTACGTTTTGCCTGTAAAGATATATTCAGTTTAACTTCAAATTCATTTTTCTTTTTGCGCGCTTCTAATGGGGTCATTTTAGTAGTGGATGAAACCATTTTGTTATTATATGTGAATAATATCTCTAAATTATAATCTATCCACTGGATATGTTGCTTTCCTTTCTTCTCATCTGCTTCAACCCGCTTAAACAGCATATCTTTATAGGTTCTTATAAAACGCTCCGCGAATGCTGGATGCCCTCTTGTTCTGAGTATCTCAATTTTCTCACCTTCTAAATATTCTATGACGGTTTTACTATACAAACTCCCTTCTTCATCACTGTAAAACATTTTCGGTTTATCGCCCATTTTTTGTAGTCCTTCCATCATTCCCGCTAATCCATCTGGTGGTTCTTTACTCTTAATAGGTATAACAGTAGCATATTTACTGAAAATATCAATTAAAACTAATCCTATTCTAAATTTTTGGTTTTCTAAATCGTTTTTACTAATAAAGAACAAATCCACCTGATATTCAAAATGGGCGTGTGGTGCCACAAAACTATTCTCGCCATGCGGTTTGCGCTTTTCCTCAATGTTGCTTTTAAAGAACTCCTCAACATCTGCTTTCGTGATGGCGGCATCTTTCTCTCTGCGGTCTTTTAAGGTTTGAGCTCTACTCCCAAACCCCGAGCGGTCAAAATATATATCATTAATGATTTTTTTGCTTATTTGAACTCATATAAATAGAAATATAAATTAATATTGTTTAATGAACCGATACATTACAGTAAAAGCAATAAGCACAACAATTGCCTAAATGATGCCCATAATCATTGCATAGGCGCTGAGCTGTAAAGTTGCTACACAATTTACCTTGCTTCACTTCAAAATTAAACGATGTATTACATTTCTCGCACCTGCTTTTCAACATGTTTAAACACCATTCAGGGGTTATGTATTCTTCTTCACTTATTTTCTTTGGGAACGCCGGTCTTGTAGTTTGTAATTCTCCACCTTGTTTCTAAAGTATCTCATTATCAAATTTTATCCGTTTGTTTATCAAAACTTGGATTGGGATAAAACCTGACTTTTGTAAAATCAACACACCGAGTAATACTTGTCCAAACCCACTCCCTGCTTGCTATTGGTAAGTTGTATTCGTGTATAGTTATACTCCCCTTCACACTTGCTCCCTGACTTGAATGACAGGTGGCACAATATTCTTGTTTAGTCTGTTTCTAGTCTCATTTGCTACATTTCGGCATCTTATGTTAGTGTAGGCGATGTTATGCTCCGATGCCATTATGTCGTCAGTTATTTCAAAGTATTTCGGTTTTGCTTCCACCATGGGCAGTTTATGTTCCCAAAAATCATCATAAATCTCATTTAGTAGTCGCCTGTTTCTCTCGCCTTCTTCGCTGTCCTTCGCTCCTACCCTCTTACATATCGTTAAGAAAATGTTGTATTTAAATACTATATCTATGCAGTTGTCTATATAAACTGCTGGGTTCTGGCAGTTGGTCATAACTTCCACTCCCTGCAATTGTTTAACATCTCCCGTTCCAACAACGATAATATCAGGATTTTCTTGAATGAACCGTCTGACCTTATCCAATACATATAAGTTAGACATATAAACCTCGTCAAACACCACCACATTGAAAGGGGAATAGTCAAACGCTGGCAACTTTTCTCCCACATCTTCATGAACCGCGATGCTAAAAAACTTGTTATACGTTGTTGCCTCTACTTCCTTTTCTTGTAAAAGTCTATTGGTTGGCACTACAAACAAAACATTCTTACCCATTTTTTGGAAATACTCGCCTATATAGCTCTTCCCCGTTCCTGGAAATTTTCCACGAATTATCACGGGGTTTCTTAACATAATTCTCTCGCAGATTGCTTTCGTGTCCCATTCGTCTTCAACTTCAACTTTGACATTGCTAATTTTCGGGATTTCCCGCACTTCGTTAAACTTGTATGTGGATAACTGCGTAGGCAGTGTAATTGTTTTCTTCTCTTCCAGTCTCCAAGTGCCTATGCCAGTTCCAAATTTAAGCAGTCCTTCTCTCCACACACGACAAAACCTGTATCCATACACCTTATCCACATCGTCTTCGTGTATCGTCAAGCAATCTGTCTTAACACTATATACCTTGATATTATTATCTTTCAATGTCTTGTATGCTTCATACATCTTAAAATTATGATATTGTAATCACAACTCTTTTATATACATAAAACCATTTATTAAAGTCTTCTTTTCTGACACACTTAACCCATTTTCGTCTTCATCCACGTCGTTAAGTTCTGTCTGACACTCTCTTATTGTATAGACCTTTCCACCGTAAATGCTTTGATAATAACACGCCTCCTTCAAGGAAGTAAAGGTGCTACTTCGCTGACTTGTGTTATGGGATTTCTCCAACATTCCGACGCTGATGTTCCATAGTTTCTTTTGCGTCTGCTTGTTGAAGTCTTCGTCGTCGGTTATTTTTGTTGCATACAGTTCACCTATCAGTTTTTTATAATCCACCTTGTAAATGTTGCTCGGTTGCTTATACCATAATATTTCAGTTTAACATTGTGTTTCAGCAGTTTCTTCAAAAACTTGCCATAAACTAAGCAATACTTCTCGTTGAAAAAGATGTTTGCTTCATACACCTCTACAATGTATAATGTCAGGTTGTTAAACTGGTCTGTGCTACAGTCCTGATCAAAGGGTCTAAATATGTCAAACTGTGTAAATTTCGGGATGTATTTTATACTCCCTCCCGCGTGAGTAAATGCTTTGTTAATATCTATTTCTTTTATCTTCTTAATCGCGACATCTTTATAAAATCTGCCAGATGGAACTATGGTTTTACACTCTTTTAGGATTTGTATATCTACCTCGTTATAATAGGATAAATGATTTTCTTTAAACAACTCTTTTTGTAAGTTAAACATAGTTGTAGTGATTTTGTTATACACTTCTTCATTATCAGTTATTACATCTTCGTCAATTCGTTCTTGTGATAAACACTGTGAGACGATGTTGTATTTAATGTATTTCTTCAACTTTGTGTAATAAAACTTACATAAGATATTCGTAATCCTCCCCGCTTGATAGTTAATCTGCGGTTTGTATCCTGCCTCGTTCAGTTGATGAAAGACCTTAACCAAATCATTATCCGAATGTATCAGCGCGTATTCTTCTTTATCTGTCATTTTCAGCAGTTCATCTACATTATCAAACATTTTATATTCAACGGGTTCAGTCTTATCGGTGATGTAAAACTTGCTTGTTGTAAATGCATTGTATTTATCCTTCGGTTGAATTTGCCTTAATGTCTCTAAATCGTGGTTTAACAGGTAAATATGATTGTTTTTAACAAGTCCTCTGAATATTGTGTAACACACGTGTGTGTGTAGGAACAAGTGTCAGCGGGCGGCCGATCAGCTATATCGGCTCGCCCGTCTTTTCGTTTTGTGCTCTCCGATCCTTTCGCCTCTCTTTGGGTCATGTCGTCCGGGTCCACGCCTGAGCAGATCGCCGCCGTTGCCCCGTCGTCGCCTTTGGGGGCGGCTGGTCTTCCGGTGGCGCCGGGCGTGGACCTGGCCGTTGGCACGACCTCGGCGACTACTACCACTACGCCTGGTGGTTTGGATCTGGACAGCCTTGGTCAAGGCTTGAGCCTACGCCGGCTGAGGCGCCTGCCTCCACGGGCACATTGCCCGCCGAGGCCTTTTCGCCGGGTGGGGGCTACACGGCTGGCTCCGTCGACTTGCTGGGCTTGGACCTCGACGAGAGCCCAGCACTGTCAGGTCCGCCCCCCCCGGCTGCGGCCACGACCGGGGCGTGCAGACACACGACGCCCATTTCATCAGGTCGTTTGTCTCCGGGCTGTCCGTCACGCGCCTTGCCGCCGCCATCAGGGCGCTCTCGCCGGAGGACTCCGCCAATTTGAGGGCGGCCATGGCGGAAGCGGAGGCCACGCCCGACGAGGATACCGTGGCTGGCGGCGACCCGGGCACTTCATCGACTCCGGCGTCTTCGGCATCTTCGCCCCGGGGCGGTCCAACCGATGACGGACCCCGGTCCCTCCCCGCCGGAGGCCCGCCGGTTTTGGGAGGAGCGTGACCCGACCGCAGCCAAGGCGTCTCCTAAGGCCGTTCCGGTGCCGCCACCGCCCACTCCGACTGGGACGCCCTGACCATCTACCTCGACGAGCTGGATGCCAACGGTCCCAGATGCCGTTCCCTTCCAGGCGGCGGCCAAGCCGGTGGCGGCGGCTAAGGCACCTCCGCCGGAGCCGCCCACGCCGATTTCTGGTTCTCCGGCCAAGGCGCCGCGGGCCGCTGAGCATGGCGGCCCAGCCGCCCCCGCCGCATCCTGCCTCCAGCTGCTTGTACGGCGGGGGCCATTCACAAGGCGCCGCCGGCGATGGACCAGGACACGCCGAATGGGCCTACACCGCCCTCTTCGACTACGGCTTCTTCGTCTGGACCGGCGCAGCCAGCCAAGATTCCGACCAAGGTCCCCCCGCCAGGCCTTCATCAGGAAGGAGCAGGCCGCCAGGAGCCGGGCGGGGCTGCTGCAGCTTTCCCCGGGCGCCGATTACGACGCCGCCTTGGCCGCCAGCATTGAGCGCGAGCCGGCGGAGCAGCGCGCCATGGGGCCCCCTCCTCCTAAGCCTCAGGCGGCCGCCTGGCTGGGTCGTCGGGTGGCAGTGGTCGAGGAGTCGAGGACACTCACCCGCGCCCGGCCCCTCGACGACCGACCACGCCGGCTGAGACGGTCGAGTCCCCGTGGCAGGCCTATCTTCGGGCGGAGGCCGCCGCTGGGACTGTGGAAGGGGCGGCTTCCTCATCATCAACGGTGCCCCCGCCGCCTAAGTCGAGCTTCCCGCCACCAGAGACCGCCAGCCGGGGGCGGCATGGGTTCGGCAGCCGCAACAGGGACCACCGGGAGCACCGCGCCGAACGTCATCTGACCCTCGCCAGGCGGCCTGGGATGACTACCGGCTTCGACCAAAAAGGCGTATGCGCCGTGGTATGAGTTTTGGCTAGCGCCGTTTAGCACGACGCTTGTTTTTACTCGCCCCTTCTCATAATTGTCAGGGTTATATTCGTAAATCAGAGCACCTGTAAAGTTGTATAATCTAACTGGTATATTGAAGAATTTGAAGACCTTATCCATTTGGTTTAAAGTCGCCCCCGTATTAATAAGTTCTTCTTCTGTCATATTCAGCAGTTCAAGGACTTTATTGCGGGTCAGTGTTTTTGTGTTCTTTTGTTGTCGTTTCTCTCTTGTTAGGTTAGTTCCTTCAAAGTTTTCCAGCAAAGCATTTATCCAACATTCGTTCTCTCTGTAATTTTGTTTGTGTAATGCCTCTTTCATAGTGTGTGCTTCGGCATTGACTTCTGTTTGGATGTATCTGTAATATGTGCTAATGCTGTTGCCTTGTTGCAACGGTTCTTCTTTCTCGTCGTATCCGCCCGTGTCTGTTTCAACAATCTCAACGCTTTCAACTCTAATGGCGTCTGCGTATTCTATCAGGTGTCCTGTTGCCTCCTTAAACTCGCTACTTGAATTCATAGTAATCATCAGTTTTCTAAATAAGAACTTTTCGGTGTCGTGGTGTTGTCTTATCCTTCTCTTTACTAATGTTTCAATGAATTCGTTTGCT